GCATACAATTCCGATTAACTAAGGTACAGTGATACTGCATTGATGTGGGTTGCCAGAAGTTTATCTGGAAGTGAGAATTTACTGACATTGTATTATGAAACTAAATTTAAAACATCACTGGGATTCAAGATTGCCAAAAATAAAGCATAAACACATTCAGATACTGATTTTCTGGTTTATATGATATATTGATATAAAAAAATTGTATTCAAATTTTAATAAAATACATAGGTGATTAAATAGAGCATTAATTTTTCAGGTTGTGGGATTAAAAAGGTACTTTTAGAGGATAGGCTGTAATTTATGGGAGATAACTAATAGTCTTTAGGCACAGGCATTTGGATTTAGGATGTAAGTGTTTGTATTCTTATCTGCTATATATACAGTGAATGTTGAATTAATTGTATAAGAATCTGTTCTTGCTGTTGATAGTTCTGAATGCCAGTACTTTAGGTACCGTTTCTTTATCAATTAAATTAAATAAAACAATGCAATTAAAAGTGGGGGGAGCATATGGCAAGACAGATTGGTGTTAGAATCCTATGTATTGTTTGGTGATAAGAGAATTATATCATCTTAGAATAATGGAATGAATTTGTCATCCTTTGTTCCTTCTGGTTACATAACTACCCACTGGGAACAGAGATAGGTAAATTTGGGGAGATTGGTGGAGCATAAATATAATATTTTATTTGAACACAGTCTCTTAGAAACAGGGAATACAGTATGTAGAAATTAAATGTTGATAGAATCGCAGTTCATTTTAAAATTGTGGTAGTAGACTTCTCTATATGTTAAAATAATTCCTCTTTTATTAAAAAAAGAATTACAGTTAGTTACATGCATAATTACAAGTACTAAGAAATGTTATTTTTGAAGCATGCTTCTGTTCCATTATCACTATTGGTATCATTTAGCTGTGACCATTCTATGAATGAGAGACAGTGAATATTCTTAAAAATTAAGATTAATTGGCCAGTTAGCCACATATAGTAACCTAGCTAGATAATGTTGTTCTGATGTCACAAGTGAACAGTAGATCGTAGCAGTACCTGATTATTTTAATGCTGTTTGAGGTGTTCTTTGAACAGTTACATATGCTTGCATTTTTGTCAGACACAGAAAATATTTTTGTTAAGGAGATTGTGTGTTGACTGTAATTCTTCCCTTTTGTTTGTTAGAGTAAAATGGGCCACCATTCTACTGTCTGGCTTTTGAACTTGGTCAGTCAACCTGGGAAAAGGCAAATGGCAGATATTAAATACTTGATTTGCAAGATAATTTGGATACCCAGAAATGCAAATTTGCTTCCATGCTCCATACATTCTTGTTTTTGCTTCCAGAACTTTTCCTCCCCCAGCCTCAAACAGGTTGTCCCATGCAAATAATGTAAAATAGAAGTTTCAAAAATGGTGGCTATGGTGCTACAGTAGTAGGAAGTGTCTATGCACTGAGTTTTAAAAGATAAATTCGACATCTGTTCAAAGATGCATGTAAATGCTTCAGTAAATACTTTAAAATGCTGACTTCTTACTGAGAACGGGGGAATGCTTGAATTGTTTTGTTCCCCACATCTGTTAATGTATTTCGAGGAGCACTAAATTACCAATTAGACAGTAACTTCTACCTATGCCTAAAAGATTGTCTCAGTTATTGCACAGTGTAGCTTCACCATGGCCATAAAAATACTTTAACTAATTTGGTGGCTTCAAACACGTGAGGTTGAATTTGCAGCCAGAAATAACTGTTTTTAGCTTTTCAATATTGTTTTTCAGTGATACAAGCTGCCTTGGGCCCTTTTTTGAGAAGAAAGGCAAGGTTAAAATATTTCAAATAAATAATATTGTACAAGGAGAACATTATTAGAAACCTACCATTGTTCGAGTTTTTGTCAAGATGAGAGAGCTTTCTCATTTAAATATTTTATAATGTTACACTGAAACCATTTTTCTAGATCTCTTGGATGGTTATTGTTTACAGCAGTGGTCCCCAATGTTGGGCCTCCCCTTGGATGGTTATTGTTTACAGAACATACAGTAGTTGGAGAAATTGTATCCATCAATTAAGTAGATGGCTGGTCTGGTGTTAATTATTGTCTTAAAACATGCGTTTTCAGGGAACTTCAAGATATATCATTGCTGGTTTACAGAACATAGTTGGAGAAATTGTATCCATCAGTTAAGTAGATGGCTGGTCTGGTGTTAATTATTGTCTTAAAACATGCGTTTTCAGGGAACTTCAAGATATATCATTGTGCTTGAGTACGTTTTGGACTGTGCTAGGTTAGAAATGCAAAGTAGATTTTCATGTATGTTGCTCAAGAGAAGAGATTTCATTCAGTGCAGTCTGATAGGAAATAGATGAAGTTTAAAACTGGATTAATATTTTATAGAACTTGAAACTCCTAGATTATTTGTTTTTCTCCTTTCCCCTCTCCTGAAAATGACTGGATAATGGAAACTGGGCAGAGAAATGAGCTGGAGTTTTCCCAAGCAAATACTTTCTGTGACAGATTTCTGTAGGTCCTTTGACACGTCGTCTTTGTTCAATCAAAAGACTAATCATTTAGTATTCTTAATAAACATCTTTATACTTTGTTCATGAGTGTGACCACAGTTTATTTCCCTGAAAGATAACACAGTATTCATTTTGTCAGTTATAAAGCAAAATATTGACCCAGAAGGCTTGTAACAGATCTCTTCCAAAGCAGAGGGGGAAGGGGTAGCTATGTTACAGAGTCAGGCCCTGCAGTAGGTGGTTTGGCATTTGCGTTCATGGGAGACAGAAGAGCCATTCCAGCAGACAGCTGAGAAGGATGGAGGTGGGGGAGGAATCGTAGTCTTGAATAGGGATTTCACTTTGGGAAGCAAATTGTGTTTCCAAAAGAACTTGATCATAATATTCAGAAAATTTGGGATGTTCATGTGAAGAAACTATCAGGGAGTTGAAGTTTGGTTTGTGTCAGCTGATGGGATTCCCTCCATAGGACTGAAACATTGTTGGCTGAGGAATGGATGTAAATATTTGCAACATGCTCACTAAATCCAGTTGACCTTCTGGCCATTCAGCAAATGCTTTTTTTCATACTTGGCCTAGTCCTTGTCTTGGAATACAAATGCTAGAAACTTTCTATTTTAAAAAAAGTTGCTCTGCCTCAGATTCCATATGGCATAACATGTAGGCAGGATTCTCGCCACTCTTGGGTCAGACAGTTTTAAGTTCAGAATCCAGGAATGTTTTTCATTTTCTGTCTACAGGGAGGAGTCTCAAATAGTTCAGTCTGAGGAACCCTGCTGCCTCATATGGTATGCAGTTCTGACTTCTCTTTTTCCTTGTTACCAGTTGGCATGTATTTATCTCCATCTTTACGCACATCAGAATGCCTTTCAGTTCTGTGCCTTTTGGTTATTGTATGCTACTTCACAGCTAGTATTATTGTTAAATGTGAACCTGAATTGTGAAATATTATTTGAACATGTATATTTTACCCAGCGTAAGTTGAAGCTAACATTTTTATGCAGGACCTAATTTTCAGTTTGAGTTCAGTTGCAGATGGACTCTCTTTGTCTTTGTGTTTGCTTATCTTCATAGCTTGACAGTAAAACAAAAGAAAAAAATCTGTGTGGGGCACTTGAGATCACTGATGGGGCCAGAGGAGGCACTTTTGAAAAATAGCATTTTTCCCTGAAACATAGATGCCTTCAGAAATAAAAATGGCACCAACTGTTCATTAATTATGTGTTATGAGTGACCACCTTATTCAGAATTTCACAGTTTGTCGTTCTTTCTCTGCAGTTCAGCCATAAGCCCAGTGAAGAATGTGTTTCTAAAATGCTAATTCTCTGGATCAAATTTTCTGTGGGCTCCTGGAAAGGTGTGTGTCACAATACTGTCTACATTTTCCAGACAGATGTAGCAGTTAAGCAGTAATCAGGAATATATATATCTTGAGCTTCTAAAACCATTTCCCAAGCCAATACCATATACGGAGCACTAGCATTCCAGTGAAGGGGAGTGTTCAAAGTTATGTGTCACAAGAGTTGTTATTCTAGTGCTGCGTTTGGATTATAGGTATTAGGTTTGTAGACAGGAATTGACTAGCAACACTCACCAACTGTCTTCAGACATATATATGTTTTTTATTGAACAGTAAGTTGTTATTTTAATTTTCAAAGCTGTTTTTTATTTTATTTTGAGATTTGAGGCTAACGTGGACAATAGATATTTCTGTGCTACCCACAATGGTTGCACAATATAGCACAGCATCTTGTAACAGTCTTACAGTGCAGAAACAAAGGTTGTACAAGCCATAAATGCAAGCATTACCTCTAGAACATGGAGTCAGTATGCGTATGTTGCTCAGAAATCCAAGAAACACTAAATAATATTCATAATATTTCTTACCTATTTTTTATTTTTCTATTTACTGGGGGAAAGATTTAGTTCTTCACTTGTATAGCTCAGTAAAAATTCATTTGGCTGGGCTCAAGTTTGGATTAGTGATATCCTAGGCACATGCATAATTGGTCTGGGTAGGTTTTAGATTACAGATAAATGTGAATGAGAGCTGTGGTTACATATGTGCGATTGGCATGCAGTCCTTGGTAACCAAAATTTCACTTCCCTGTCAACTTGGTCATCTGCCCATCCTTCCTTTTGGAAAGCCTGCTTCTGAGTAATGTGCTTCCATTTCTCCCTTCCCTCTCCAAGCTTATTTGTAATGTGGTGCAGTTTAGCTGGGGTTCTGACCAAGCAAAGACACATGCATCTGTTGTTGGCTGATATGTGCTGAACCTTCACTATTGTGCATATGTGTATTGAAAAATAGGTGTTGCATAGCTGCTCTTTTTGCATGCTGTTATAATGTTGCCTGTGCCTGGATTAAATACAAAATAGTATACTTTTTACTTCCTCCATTTTGAAAATTCATCTGCTTGTCGTTCCCTAGTTGTTACAGTAAAAATTGAATACTAAAGTGTTACTTTGTTTCATCTTTACAGGTAACTACTAACACAGTCACAATGAAGGATCATCTTTTGACTGGGAGCCAAGTCAAAGTTGAGCAGTTATTTGAAGACTCTGGCAACAGAAGGAGTAGTACTCTCCAGTCCTCTGGAGTAAATGGTTCAGAGAGATCTTTTCCGACTCCAGCAAAAGATAAAAGCTTTGAGAGTATAAGTACCACCAAGAATAGTGGCAGTTCAACAAAAGCACATAAAACTGGTGGTCAGTCACCAGATCAAGCGCTGAAGCAATATAAACAACAGCTGACAGCGTATGAGCAGCAAGAAATACTTAACTTCCCTGAAATTTATTTTGTGGGTCCAAATGCAAAGAAAAGACAAGGAGTTATTGGTGGCCCAAACAATGGTGGGTATGATGATGAACATGGCAGCTATATCCATGTGCCTCATGACCATCTTGCCTACCGATATGAAGTGCTTAAAATAATTGGAAAAGGTAGTTTTGGTCAAGTAGCTAAAGTTTTTGACCATAAGAACCACCAGCACCTGGCCTTGAAGATGGTACGTAATGAGAAGAGATTCCACAGGCAAGCAGCAGAGGAAATCCGGATCTTAGAGCATCTCAAAAAGCAGGATAAGACTGGCAATATGAACGTGATCCATATGCTAGAGAGTTTTACCTTTCGGAATCACATATGTATGACCTTTGAACTCTTGAGCATGAATCTGTATGAGCTGATCAAAAGGAACAAGTTTCAAGGATTCAGTGTGCAACTTGTACGTAAATTTGCCCATTCTATACTTCAGTGTCTGGATGGTCTTTATAAAAGCAAAATCATACATTGTGACTTGAAACCTGAAAATATTCTACTAAAACAGCAAGGGCGGAGTGGGATCAAAGTCATTGATTTTGGATCCAGTTGTTTTGAGCACCAAAGAGTCTATACTTACATACAATCTCGATTTTATAGAGCCCCTGAAGTCATTCTTGGAAGTCGTTACGGGATGGCTATAGACATGTGGAGTTTTGGTTGTATTCTTGTGGAACTGTTGACTGGTTACCCTCTTTTTCCAGGAGAAGATGAGGGTGATCAGCTAGCTTGTATGATGGAGCTCCTTGGAATGCCCCCACAGAAGCTACTGGACCAGTCCAAGCGAGCCAAAAATTTTGTCAACTCAAAAGGCCATCCTCGCTATTGCACTGTAACAACACAGTCAGATGGGAAAGTAACTCTTACTGGTAGTCGATCACGTAGGGGTAAAATGCGTGGTGCTCCAGGCAACAAGGATTGGGTTACAGCATTAAAAGGCTGTGATGACCCCTTGTTTATAGAATTCTTAAAAGAATGTCTTAATTGGGATCCTTCAGCTCGGATGACTCCTAGCCAAGCTTTAAGACATCCTTGGATTTGTAAACGAGTGCCTAAGCCACCCGGAATGGATAAAACGTCAGGCAAGCGGATTGCTCATTATACGAGCTCTTTCCCAGGGATTGGTTCCAGATTACCCCCAGTTATTGGGGTAGCTAACAAACTGAGAGCTAATTTAATGTCTGATGCAAATGCCAATATACCTCTATGTACTGTGCTACCAAAATTGGTCAGCTAATAGAGAAGTACATATTCCTAGAGTACATATGCTGTGTTTTTAATTATCTTCTTTATAAAAAGATTGTTAAATGCAAATGTTTAAGGAGGGAGGAAAAAGAAAAGAATTTATATTGAGCACTAAATCTTGTATAAAAAAGAATCTGAATCAAAACATAAAGCATTCTAAGGGCTGTGATTGTTTTGTCACGTTTCAGCTGGAATGTGGAGCTTGTTTCATGACTTCCAATAGGTCAGCACATTTGTTATGTTAGCTGAAATTACACATTGTGTAATAGATGGATTTTATAGCATTCTTGTAATAAAACTTTTGAAAAAGCCCACTTTCCATGCAGGCAGTCTCACTTTGCAGGCTATTTTCTGTACACAAGGTTGAAGGAACTATGCTTGCCTAACTATGCATTTGATTGATGAACTAATGAATAATCACAGAATGATGGCCAAAAAAGCACACTTTTTGACATTTCATTTCTCTGAGTTATGGTCATTTTTATGTAATGGGTGGAGGATATCAATATTTGGGAACCTTTAATCCTTGAAATGGCCCTTCTTCAAATTCCTTGCAGCTGGAAGCAATAACATACTCTTGGATAGTGGCAGGATCACCTATTGGTATTTTAAACATGCATAAGTGAAGTCATGTAAGCTATAGCAGCAAAATGTAGTTAACATTTTATTGAACAGAATTTCAGACCACCTTAGCAAGATGCCACTAGTGTTCATTGATGTGCACCCATGATTTTTGTCATGCACACACAAATTGTCGGCAGGATTCTGACTAACAGGTGTCAAGCTGGGTCAATGAAGATACTGGTCTTTTAGCTCCATAGTTTAATGCACTTGGTTCTCTTTCTGATCCTATTCTGCTAAATTGGTCTTTATAACTTGCCCTAGGTATGTGGAGCTAGAAATGTAGCCAAAAACATTTCCTCACTTATAAATAGTTAACTGATTTTAATTTTAATCACTTGTTTGAAGGACAAATGTTGTTTTAGACACAGTACAATCTTTAGGTCTCAGCATTATAACCAGAAATTTTGACAAACTAGAAATGCCAGTAACTAATGAAAAAGTAATAGCAGGCTACTAGTCCACGTAAGCAGTATTTCTAAAGTGTTGTTCAATAAAATGGAGCACCATATGAATGAACAGCATTTGATTATTGGAAAATAAATATCAGATGTATTTTTATGGTATATAAAGTATTGCTTATAGGTTTGCCACACCAAACTATGTTTTTCTATGGCAAGCACTTGATAGTTTGTCAGGCCTCATAAAAATTTATATACACCTGTCCCATGAGAAAACAAATTCCTTGTTACTAGTGTCACATCATAAGCACTGTTGATGTGAAATGGTATCGGGTGTTTGCAAATCAGTTAAGTGCCATTTAAATTCTTTTTCCTACATATGATTTTGACCCCACTCTCTAAGGTTGTTAATAGTTAAAATTTGTAACAGTTACTGATAAATATGCCTCATTTTTATTATAATAGTTACAAGGAAAATACCATAAATTCATTTCTCCTGTTATCAGAAAATATTGCTCTTAAATTAAGATAACTTTTAATTTTAGTTTTAATGTGCATTCCAACATTAGTTGAATTTTGTGTAATTTTATTTACTCCTTGGTTAATGTCACAAGTGCTACTTCATATATCACAATTGGGCTTTATTCACTCAGATCTCACTGGTACTTGATTTTGTATAACTTCACAGAGTATAATAAAAACAGGAGTTTTCAAGCACTTCTGGATTGAGGTATTATGGCAATTTCTATCTATTAAATGTGGTTTATACCAGAAGGCCCTATAGAACTCACATATGGTATACAGTGGTGCCTCGCTTTACGATTGCCCCGCATTACGACGAAACCGCTTAACAACGATCTTTTTGCGATCGCAATTGCGATCACAAAACAATGGTCTGAATGGGGGAATTTTGCTTTGAGATGATCAGTTCCCTGCTTCGGGAACCAATTCTTCGCAAAACAATGTTTTTTGAACAGTTGATCGGCGGTTTCAAAATTGCCACCGGGTGATTAAAATGGCTCCCCGCTGTGTTTAGGGACGGATTCCTTGCTATACAGGCAGCGGAAATGGCTGCCGTATGGAGGATCTTCGCTGGACGGTGAGTTTTTACCCCATGGGAACGCATTGAACAGGTTTCAATGAGTTTCAATGGGATTTTTATTTTCATTTTACGATGTTTTTGCTTATGGGCGATTTTCCTGGAATGCATTATCATCTGCATTATCGTCACCACTATATGTGGATTTAAAATATCTGTTGCATGTATTTCATTCAGCTGGAATGTAGTGTGTCCTATATGCACACATGGGATTTTTAATTTAAAATTGAGCTCTTAATCTAGTAAATATAACGGCAATAAATCTGTAATGGAAGCAGACTTATTTTAATGCTTATAATCGTTAAGAGGTCTCATGGTAAAGTATTATTGGTCTTTCAGCCCTTGGCAGCAGAGATTGTGAGGGTAAAATAACTTCAGATAGAGCAATGATTTCCAACCTAGGTAGCCTAGGTGTTTTTGGACTGCAGCTCCCAGAAGCTTTTGCCAGTAGCTGTGCTGGCCAGAGTCTCTGGGAGTTGCAGTCCAAGAGAACCTAGGTTATCCAAGGTTGGGAACCACTGAGAAGACTATCTTCTGTAAAGTAGAACTCAGTGACTCTACATTGAACAAGCCATCTTCAGTCCCTATTATATTGCCCAATTACATACCGAGAAAACAGTTCTGTAGTTTTGCTATTGTTCAAATGAAAGACATCTTGTAGTTGCATTTGTGCCATTAAAGAGTCCAACACTTATGTTTCTACTCAGAATTAAGCCTTACTGAGTTAAATGAGGCTTGCTTCCAGATAATTATATGTAGGGTTGCCACCAAAGATGACTTTTTGGTCTTTTGGAGTCTATTGAGATTGTGGTGATGAATATTCATGTCCTATTAGAATCGCTCAAGCTGCATTTTCATGTAATTTTTAATAGATTCAAAATGTACAAAATACTTCTTGTAAACAATATGACCAGTATACAGTGTTTGCAAGAAGCATCCAACCTTGAAATAGTTTTCATTCTATACTGATTTTATCAAAAACAATAACAATTGTCAAGTTGATTTTTTTCTTACAAAGAAAGTTAGATCTAGACTTCCTGTTTTTAAATGCTTTCTGTGTACGCTTTATAATGCACTGTGTTGTGCGCATTGCATCTTTTAAAAGTACGTGGACTGTAATAATTTACTTGAAATGATCAAATAAGAACATTAAGACTGTAGATAAAGAGTTAACACAGAGCCGAAAAAGATAAGCAGATATCTGCAAGATTTTTTTAATGTATTGACTGGATTTTTATGCTGCTCAATAGCCAAAGCTTTTTGGATGATATACAAATAAAGGTTAAAAATAATGATCACACTAAAATAATAAAAACAATGTAAATCTAAAATAAATCAGCATATGATTCAGTTGAGTATTCATAGCTCAATATAACTGTCTTAGTGCTACTCTTATCTTTGCTGTGAGGTCTGGTGAATCTTCAAGATATCTACAAGATACTTAAATTCACTGAGGTATCGTGTGACTATAGTGTGTCTTGTTGCTAGCTTTTTATGGGTTTCATTGATCCTGATTCATCTGTGCTTTTGGGTAAGTCACCAGGAGTGGATCTCGATTGCTTTGGAAAACTAAGTAAAGTCTTGATACAGCTGTTAATTACAACATCATCATCATAATCATGATGATGATGATGATGTACTGTCTAGTCAGTTCTGAGTTACAATGATCCTTTCCTGAGCATATAAAGTTCAGAAGTAGTTTGCTGTTTTCTGCTGGGGGACTCTGGGACTACAGCTTTCTGAAGGCTATATGGTCTGGCTATTCTCTTCCAAGGCACAATGGAAAGTCAAAACTACTGATTCCCAGCTCCACAGTCAAGCATTCCATCTCACTGGGTTTTCCAGCCAACAATTATTCTGTTGGCTAATAATAATTATCAGTGCATTTTGCTCCCTTTGAAGGGCAATTTAAACAGGCCCTCCACTAACCTCTCATTTAAATTGTGGACCTTTTAAAAGAAGCATTTTCTGTACTTTTGTTTTTCTGAAAAGGCTCATAAATGATAGCTTTCTAATCCCAGGAGAAGAAGGAAAAGGCTGATAATGTACCCAGAACTTTGTAATAAAAGCTTAGTGCAGTTTCCTAGATAGTAGAACTGGGAAAACACAAAGCTTAAATATATCTTCGATTATTTGTTCTAGCTTGTCACTTTTTCATAATCCTTGTAAAGCAGGCGCATCACCTCAAAAATTTGAGTGGATCTTTGTTCCATGTTCTAGAGTGGCTTCCCTTGCTGTAAACCTGCTAATGAAAGAGATTGGTGACTTTGCAAATCTCAGATTTAGGTTTTTTAATTGCAATTCATGAGGGATTTTCTGCACCGAAAAAGGTTTTGGCCTGGTTGATTTACAAGTCTCTGCATATGGATATCCAAAGGATTTTCAATGAAGATACATTTCTAACGTTCTTTGTTTTTTTAATTTTACCTCCCGTTGCTTATTTGCATCTATTTCCATGTGTTTCCCTGAAAATAAGACAGGGTCTTATATTAATTTTTGCTCCAAAAGTGCAGTAGGGTTGATTTTATTGAGATGTGGTTTTTTTCATGTACAACAATCTATATTTATTAAAATACAGTAATGTCATCATCTTCTGTTGCTGCACAATGTTGGACAATGGTGGAGGGCAGGGTTTCACTTAACTAGGGCTTATTTTTTGGCGTAGGGCTTATATTATGAGGATCTTGAAAAATCATACTAGGGCTTTTGGGGAAACAGGGTAGATGAAATACTACACATTATTTTGAATACTGCATAATGACAGTTAAAATCTGTGTAGAGATCATACTAAAGAACTGGATTTGGGCCTAATTTTTTTTAAAAAAAATTTATTGGATATCAAAAGGGAAAAAGAAGGGGAAAAATAAAAGTAAAAATGATATATAAAATATAACCATGGGCTGGGCATGTACGTTAATGTTAGCTGATCATATGTTCAGAAAATATTTCAGTTGGAGTTATCAATAGAATTGATGTTCATGTGTAGTAAAGATAGTTAAGATCTTCTGAACATTGAAGATTGATGGTGTATGTGTAGTTCTGAAGTATGTCTTGTTAAAATGGTAAGATCTTTTAGGTTGCATCTGTGCTGAATATCACTTAGATTCCAAATTTCAGGAATGTAATTTAAAAGTACTGTCCATTCATATCTACAAATATAAAGGCTTTTAATATAAAATTAATTTGCTGTATT